AGGCCCAAGGCGCTGCGGCGGGCCAGCGAACGGGCGGACCTCCGGGGGGGCAGCAGGCGGCGCCGCAGTGCCCTGGGCCCGCATCGCCGCCATCTCCGTCTGGACCGTCGTCAGCAAGCCCCTGAGCCCCGCGAGCGCCTGGCCGAGCTCCAGCTGCCCAGCCTGCAGCGCCGCGAGCGCCGCGATCGGCGGGGCCGTGTCGGGCGGGGTGCCTGGCATCGCTGGCGGCGTGCCTGCAGCGGGCGTGCCCATAGGCACGTCTCCGTCGGCAGCCTCGGGAGCAGCAGCAGGCGGCGGGCGCATGGCCTCCAGCTGCTCCAGCAGCGTCTTGGCCCTCCCCACGGCGGCCGACCTCTGCTGGACCTTGGCATCCGCCTCCTCCAGGGCGGCGCGAGCCGCAGCGGCGGCGTCCTGAGCTTTCTCAAGCTTCTGCTGCGCTCTCTGGACAAACGACCGTTGCCTGTCACATCGTACGCCAGAGGGGCGAGCGATAATTATCATGCAGAGCTGCACGGCATATTCCTCTTCCTGAGGGCGCATCTGCTCGGGCGACATGCCGAGGTCCTTCGCGGCCTGGAGGCGTTTGCCAGTGGCAGCGGCCATCTGGCGCAGCGAGCGGCGGTGAGCCCCAAGCTCACGCTCATCGCTCGGCTGCTCGACCCAGGCAGGGTGAGCCTTGGCGACCTCCGGCAGCGCGGGCAAAATGCCCAGGGCCGGGCTGCGCAGCTCGTCGTCGCCGCCGTCCGAGGTGTGCCCACCCTCGTTGGCAGCGCCGTCGTCGTCCTCGGCCTCCGCGAAGCGCACGCGGGAGGCCGACCTGGTCTGGCTGGAGCGCCTGCGGCGGCGCGAGCCCGAGGCACGGCGGTGGCGGTCGCGCGGCTGGCTGCGTCGATCGCCCGCCGCGCTGTCGTGGTCCGCCGCGCCGTGCTGCGGCCCGCTGGCGGGCAAGGGCATGCACGTGCGGCAGAGCAAATCCGACGGGCCGTTGAGGCCTCCGCACGACGGGCACCACCATCCGGGCGGCGGCGGCGGCACGGCCCACGGGGGAATGCCGCCACTCTGCCCGCTGTGGCCGCCGCCCTTCCCACCGCCGCCCGAACTGCCCTTGCCGCCGCCCTTGCCGCCTTGGCCGCCTTTGCCGCCGCCTCCAGCACGGCCTGCCATCGGCCCGGTGCTGTGGTGCGCGCGCAACCTCGCCGCGGCCGCGGCGACGCGCAGCAAGGTGCGCGACTGCGTGCGCCGCTCGCGAGCGCGCCTGTGCCAGGCGGGCTCGCGCACGCGTAGTCGGCGCCGCGCCCTGCGCGAAGCAGGCGCCCGCGCCGTCGTGCGCCCGCCCACCCTGGGGGCGGCGCACGCCGCAGCACAGCAGCACGGCCGGCCCGCGCGCCACCAGCGAGAGGCGCGGGCGAGCGCGTATGGCCGCCGAGTCCCGCGAGGCTTCGCAGGTATCCTGGATACCTGCAACCCAAAAGCCTCGGGCCGGGACGGCAGCTGGAGGAGGAGGAGGGAAGGAGGAAGAGGAGGAGGAAAGACATGCGCAGGGGAATCAGGGGGACGACGACAACGACGACGACGACGGTGATGACAGTGATGATGCTACGGATGATGATGATGATGATGATGATGATGATGATGATGATGATGATGATGATGATGATGATGATGATGATGATGATGGTGATGGTGATGGTGATGATGATGATGATGATGATGATGCTGATGATGATGCTGATGATGATGCTGCTGCTGATGATGATGATGATGAGGATGAGGATGAGGATGAGGATGCTGATGATACGGATGATGAGGATGAGGAGTATGTTGATTATGATGATGATGATGAGGATGAGGGTGAGGATGCGGATGATGATGTTGATGATGACGATGCTGATGCTGACGTTGATGATGATGACGAGGATGATGATGATGAGGAGGTGGGTCAGGATGAGGATGAGGATGACGACGATGATGATGCTGCTGCTGATGATGATGCTGATGATGTTGGTGTTGATGTTGTTGATGCTGGTGGTGATGATGATGGTGATGCTGCTGCTGATAATCATGATGATGATGATGGTTGTTATGATGGTAATGGTGATGGAGATGGTGATGGAGATGATGATGCTGATTATGATGATAATTGTGCTGATGATGCTGCTGCTGATGATGATGATGATGATGATGACGATGATGATGATGATGATGGTGGTGGTGGTGGTGGTGGTGGTGATGGTGATGGTGATGGTGATGGTGATGGTGATGGTGGTGGTGATTGTGATGGTGATGGCGACGGTGATGGTGATGTTGACGGTGATGGTGATGGTGATGGTGATTGTGATGGTGATTGTGATGTTGATGGTGATGCTGGTTCTGACAATGATCAGGACGATGGGGAGGAGGAGATGGAGGAGGAGGAGGAGGAGGAGGAAGAGGAGCAGGCGCAGCAGCATATGCAGGCGTAAAGGGAGGGTTAGAAAACGTAGGGGATGGGAGTAGTAGGAAAAGGAGGAGAAGACGTATGAGGAGAAGGAAGAGGAGGGAGAGGAGGGAGAATACGAGGATGGAGACGAGGGAACAAGCAGAAGCAGGAGGAGGAGGAGTAGGAGGGGGATGAGAAAAAGAAAGAGGAGGAATGTCGTGGTAGTGGTGGTGATGCTGATGATGCTGTTGCTAATGCTGATGCTGCCGCTGATGATGATTCTCATAATGATGGACGAGGAGGAAGACCAGAGTCAACCCATGATGCATCTCATCTGCTGCGACACACCTTCCTGTCCCATTCCCCGTCTCATATGTCCCTACAGGAACCTATTTCTCATTTCGGGAAGCGTTTCCTTGAAAGACGACCCCCCGGTGAGCCTGTCACTCAGACGCGAGTCTCGTTAAAGAATGAGACACCCGGCATGCTCCGTAGTTGAGGTCACAATGTCAGAGGAAGTGCCAGGCGAGGGCTCCGGTATAAAAGATTAGTTGCCCTCCACCTGTGGATTGCAACGCAATCCCACATTGCTGGTTGTGATCTTATGAGGAGGTCTCAAGCGAGACCATCTGTTTCAAAAGGAGCCGCCCTCCATCCTGTGTGCGGCAAGTTCCGCCACCGTCCCAGCGCAGCCGTCGGTGTTGCGACGCTTCGAGCGCCGCCGAGAAGGCCATAACAGCACGTGGCCCTTCCCGTCTCTCAGTCTATCCCCCTTGAGGACTCCTGTGGCCTACCTGGGCCGTCTTCGGGCTTTCGGATAAACCAAGGCGAAGCGGTGTGGTGAACACAATTTCCGTGCCGAGCCAGCTTAAGGCCCCAGTCATTTGCACTCAAGTGTCCAGGCTTCCCCATCGGCATGCACTTGCATTAAAGTGTCCGGGCTTCCCCGGGGCGTGTATTTACGTGTTTGGGGGACTTCAACGCTCCCAGGGTGCCATAAACGTCCCTCGTGCTGTGGCTTCGCCGCGAGCTCTCACTCTGTGGGCGCCGTGATCGTCCCCTGAGTTGTGGCTTCGCCGAGAGTTGCCCGATGATGTGAAATCTGTATTTCGTATCTTCCGAGCCCGTGGCAGATACCCTCCACGAGGCGTGCAAACTTGTCCGCCGAGTAGCACGACTGGACGAGACCCCGACCACGGCCATTCTGGCTCGAGGGCGATTTGCTTTGCACGCAGTAGCTGTCGGGGATCGCGAGACCATTAGGAATATTTGCCCCTCCGCCCGGGGCCCATTGCAAAAGCATGGGCTAGACCAGGGGGAAGGCCAGGGCGGGATCAAGCGATCCGCCGGGCAAGCATTCCCCGATCCACACGATGCAGCCAATGTTGCAGAAAAATAGCGCTGTACCTCCATGCCTCCACTTGCCTCACCTTCATTGGCAGGGCGGGCGGGTTGCTTGGAGGCGTTGGGACATTGTGATGGGTCGCTGTGGGGCCGTCTCGGGGGCCTCCTGGGACCCTCCTGGGCTGTCCTGGGGCTTCACCGGGCCGTCTTGAGCCCCTTTGGGGAGTCTCTGGGTGCAAGCTGGGGATTCTCTAAAGGCTTTATCGGGGCGTTCTTTGGCCGCCTTGGGGCTTTTTTGGGCTGTCTTGGGCCCTCCTTGAGCCTCTTGGACATTCTCCGGTACCTCTTCGGGCTGTCCTCGGCCCTCCTGGGAGCCTTTGGGGGACCTCATGGGGCTATTGTGGGCTCTTTTTGTTGGCCTCTCCGAAGCCATCGTGGACCCATCTTGGGCCGAGAAGCCTCATACACCTTAAATATTCGAAAGCCGATCATACCCTTGAAGTTTCGAATGATTTTGGGCCTCGTACCCAACTTGCTGCTGCCTTGGAAGCCTCTTGGGGCCCTTTTGGCGACTCTTGGGGTCTTCTTGGGGGGCCATCTTGTCGTCCTTGGTGGCCTGACTGGGCCGTTTTTGAAATCTCGGAGGGCCTTGGATGACCCCAGGGAGGCGTCTGCGCGACGAGGGGAGGTGGGACGAGCCGTTCCGGAGCGCTCTGGAACAGCCGCGGCGCCCGATGCATCCTCCAGATCAGCCAGATCTCAGAGATCCCCGACTTCTCCCTGTCCGACAATTGTCCCAGTCCTGGCTGCGTCCCCAGACCCCCGACGTCGTGATCTTTTCATTTCGTCGACCCCCGAGGCCTGGACCCACTCCCCGGGACCGGTCTTTCGTCCCGAGTCGTTTGTTGACGGTCCCCAGGGGCCCTGACCGCCCAGAAGGAGCGAAGAGCCTACCGTCACGATTTTTGTCGTCGTCGCCCGAGGGGCTCTTGGGTGTGGCGTGTGCACAGGCAGGGATCAGGAGGGAAAGGAACAATCAATCGTCGACTCCCCGGAAAATGTGGGAAACAATATGGGAAGCGGGGGGGAAGACGAAAACCCCGAAAACATTGGAACATATGGGGGATTATGTTATTTGTGTGCATGTGTGAGCATGTGTGTGTGTGTGTGTGTGTGTCCTTGGGCCCCTGGAAGGGCGCGGGGGCGGCGGGAGCGGAGCGGGGCCCCGCGCGGCGAGGCCGACGTGGTCGCCCTGGAGCAGCACCTCGTCGCCCCGAATCCCCTGGAGGTGCCCGCTGCTCCAGGGGGGCGGGCGGGGGGGGAGGAGGTGGGGAAGCCGAGGGGGGCGAGGGGCCTTCTCGAGGAGCGAGGGGCGAGGGGAAGGAGGGAGGAGGGGCGGGGCGGGGGGAGGGGGCGAGGGCGAGGGGCGAGGGGCGAGGCGAGGGGCGAGGGGCGAGGGCGAGGGGGGGAGGGCGAGGGGCGAGGGGCGAGGGGAGGGGAGGGGAGCGAGGGGTGCGAGGGGGAGGGGACGAGGGGGGAGGGGCGGGGCGAGGGGGCGGGAGCGAGAGGCGAGGGGAGGGGGCGAGGCGAGGGGCGAGGGGAGGGGGACTGGAGGGAGGGGGAGGGGCGAGGGGAGGGGAGGGGGCGAGGCGAGGGGCGAGGCGAGGGGCGAGGGGAGGGGCGAGGCGAGGGGCGAGGGGCGAGCGGCGAGGGGCGAGGGGATGGGAAGGGGCGAGGGGCGAGGGGAAGGGAGGGGCGAGGGGCGAGGGGAGGGGCGAGGGGAGGGGAGGGGCGAGGGGTCCATTTCGATCCGACCGATCCGATTCGACATCGGCTTCGGCTGGCCCGAGCCGCTTCGATTCCGGCACTCCGACGGTCCGATGCGGCCCGATGGTTGCTTGGCGCTGTGGTGCATCCCGGTGCGCACGGTCCGATTCGGTCCGGTTTCCCGATTCGATGCTGACTGATGCTGCCTCCTTCGGGGAGGATCCGCACGAGCACAAACGAGCTTCCCCGGGCCCGCGCGGATCTCTCGAGCCCGCGCTGGACCCTCCTCCCTGGCGTTACGTCGGGCATGCCCCCCTTCGGGAGGAGTCTTCAAACATAGCCCAGAAATCGTAGGGGGGCGATTCTTCCATCCTTTTTGATGGTTTTCGGAGTATCTGTTGACTATCTTATATTTTTCGTCCAACATCGGCCTCTGGGGGGACATGCCCGACCTGACCCTGGCGCGCGGAGCGCTGGACATCCCTGGCGGGTACCTCCGCGCGCTGCACCCGGCGCGATCTTCGCGCGCCAGGGAGGGGGGGAGTTCAGCGCCGGCCCAAGCGATCCGCGCGGACCGTCGAAGGCTCGCGTCATCATGCAGCTGCTCGTTCCCCTGCCCCTGCTGGTTTAGGGTTACAGTCGGGCGTGTCCCTCTACGGGAGGAATCTTCAGAAATAGCCCCAAAAATGGTCAGGGGACGATTGTTCTACCATTTTCTATCATTTGCACCTGTTCTGAGTCTTTTTCTTTTTTTGTCCAAGAACCGCCTGTAGGGGGGCACGCCCGACCTAGATTTAGGGCGAAACTCCTGGGAGGGCAAGTTCTGACTCGGCGCTGGTAGATCCCTGGTCGGGCACCGACCGAATCTTGCCTCATCCCCTTCAGTCCAGCAGGATCCCGTCTGATCCGGCGTAGCCCCGCCTGCAACCTGGCAAAATCCCAGGCTGAGTTCGGCTTACAGCCCAGCTCACTGGCCCCCCACTTGGACTTTGTTCACCGCAAAGTGCCTACTCGCAAATGTCCGAAAAACACAGGACTGCTCCGATGTAATTTATCGTAGATCCCCCGCGGCGGATCCAGGCCATGTGCGAGCAGTTGCTTTGCGAGCAGTGGAACGCGCTCGTCTAATTGTGGCCCTTCATCGTGATGACCATGACCTCCCAGGAGCCGCCTCCTACGACGCTGATGCTCCTCCTCCGACTGCGCAGGGGCAGCCCGCGGAGGCGCAGCCTCGGCTGGCCTCGGTGGACCGCCGGGGCAGGTCCAGGGCCCTCTCGACACCGAGTGCTGCCTCCGTCGGCACGCCTCCCCTCGCCTTCCTGTGCCCCTCGCTGCCCTTCGCGGCAGAAGTTCCGGCACAGTGCTCGGTTCAGCGCGTGTCGGGCACTGCTGGCAGTGGTCCTGGCCAGAGGTGCTCCCGACAAGGGCTCCCACGAGGGCGTGAAGTTATTCGCGCTTCGCGCTTCGCGGTCCTCGTTCCTTCTCCCCCCCTCCTCGTCCTCGTTTTCTCCCTCTGGAGGGGCGGCGCGAGAGCGCGAAGCTATTCGCGCCTCGCGCTTCGCGGAGCGCGAAGCGCGAAGTTGGGAGCCCCAGTCCCAACTCTCCGCGCCCGCTCGGGCCCCGCTGGGGCCCTCGGGGCCTCGTGACGGGTGCTCCGAGACCCACCTGCGCCTCCTTGGGAAAAGCTGGGGGGGCACTTATTGGACCAGGGCCCCTCCTGGCAGCAGCCGAAGTCTCTAGCGAGCGCGCACTCGCGCCGATCTGCACGCCCGCGTGCACGCCCACGGGCTGCCCGGAGCCCGTGGCTCCGCGCGGCCGCCCGCCAAGTTCGGCGCAGGCTCCACAGGCCCTTGGCCTCGTGGGCCTCCCGTTGCGCGGCGCTGCCCTTCGGGGGCGCTCCGTCGAGGGCTCTCGGCTCTGAGGCTGCTCTCCTCGGGTGACGTGCTGTCCGACAGTGCGTGCTTGCACGCACCCAGACGTCGGACATCCCCCCTCCTGGGCCCTCCTGGGCCCACTGCGATGTGATCGATCCCATTCGATATCGATTCCGGCTGGCCCGGTCCGACCCGATCCGATCCGATTTTGCACGGGCGCTGCTGTGCTTCCCTGCGCGGACCGTCCGATTCGACTCCAGCTCGGTGCCGATGCGGCCCGATCCGACGCAAACTCCGATCCGATTCGACGTTCTCGTTTCGATGTTGACTGATCTTGCCCAGCCTTTCGCGAAGGTGGTGGTGCTCCGCAAGCGCGTGGAGTGGCAGAGCTGGCAAGACGTTGCCACGAACATCCGCCAGCGCTTCCGCGCCCTCGGCTTCCCCGGCGAGGTGCCCCGGACGGGGAGGACCAGCAGAGTACGAGCAGGAGGAGAGGGAGGTGGAGGAGGAGGATGAGGAGGAGGAAGAGGAGGAGGAGGAAGAGAAGGAAGAGGAGGAGGAGGAGGAGGAAGGAGAAGGAGGAGAAGGAGGAGGAGGAGGAGGAGGAGGAGGGAGGAGGAGGAGGAGGAGGAGGAGGAGGAGGAGGAGGAGGAGGAGGAGGAGGAGGAGGAAGAGGAGGAGGACGAGGAGGAGGAGGAGGAGGAGGAGGAGGAAGGAGGAGGAGGAGGAGGAGAAGAGGAGGAGGAGGAGCTAGAGGAGGAGCAGGACGGAGGAGGAGGAGGAGGAGGAGGAGGAGGAGGAGGAGGAGGAGGAGGAGGAGGAGGAGGAGGACAGATGAGAACAGATGAGGACAGATGGGGACAGATGAGGACAGAGGGGAGTTGAAGGATGAGGCAATGACAGGGCTCTCAGGCGGGCGGCGGCCGCTCTCGGACGGAGTAGGCCAGGCCCCAAAGGGCAACAAAAAGGCGATGACAGAGGTTTGTCGGCGTTTTGGGTTGCTCTTAGAGTCTCTCGGAGGCCGCCTGCAACGTCAGTCGACCTCCGGATACTTTCAGAGGCCTCTCGAGACCCCTGGAAGCCCCAGACCAATGTAGTGTCTTTTTTTGGGGGGGGGGGGGCGGCGGTTTTTCTATGGTTTCGGCACTCGGGGGCCTTTTTTGGGGCCGCGCGCCATCAGTAAGCGTCCAGCTGCGACAGAGCCAGCCCCAGCGGTAGGGGTCGAGAGCTCTGGTGCCCGCGGGTTGATGGAACAACACGACGGAGGTCTCGGGCAGAGGGGATAGCAGTCGTGAGCTGGAAACATATCCGTGTCTTTCATCCCTCCCTGGAGCCACTCGGTGGCACAGGCAACGACAAGTGCCGCGTCCGCTCTGGCCCTGGCCCCGCCTTTTTGGCGAAAAACTGTACGCTCTCCGACCACAGAACAGCCACGTAGCCACACATAGGGGGCCACATGCGAACCCTACCCCTACCCCCACGATTTCTGAGGAGGAGGGTGGGGTCCATTTCGCTCAGGAGCTCCCGAACGGAGTGACCCCCACCCTCCCCCTCAGAAATCGTGGGGGGTAGGGGTAGGGTTCGCATGTGGCCCCCTACCACAGGACACCTGCGTACAGACACACAGCGGCCCACAGAGGGACACGTCCATATCTGCCACGGGGCGGCTTGGCGCGGATGCTCCGCTCGGGGCGTGTCCACGTGGGGCAGGGCTCATGGGGCTGCGCAGGGGCGGCTCCCGCAAAAGTGGCCCCGGCTGGCCCCGAGATGAGCCCAGGGCAGCAGGGTCCACGTTGGGGCGTTGCGGAAACGTGGCGTCGCTCGGAGGTGTGGGGTTCATGGTTTCTGGAACGAGCCGTCTCGGTCCGAGATGTCCGATGCGACGTCGATTCCGGCCAGCCCGATCGGATTCGATTCCGATGTTCCGGCGATCCGATGCAGCCCGATGCTCGCATGGCGCTGTCGTGCATCCTGGCGCGGCCGATCCGACCCAATCCCGACTCCGTGCCGATGCGGCCCGACCCGATGCACATTCTGATCCGACCCGGTTTCCCGATTCGGTATTGGTTGATCCTGCCGATGGGGTAGTCCAGGGCGGCCTCCAGATCCCAGCGCCGCCTCCGGCGGCGCTTCCGAGGCGCTCCGTGCCACTTGGGTCGGGGCGTCGAAGCCGCCGCGGGCTACTAGTGAAGCAAGGGACCAATTCGGGCTCAGGAAGGGCTTTGGTTTTCGGGCCGCTCCTTCGATTTTGGTCGGGGAGCCTACCAGGAAGCTGGGTGCACATGACATGGCCGGACCGGGCGAGAGCTTGATCTGGCTCTCCGGCACTCGGCCGTGTCGTGCCCGTTACGGAGGGCTTCTGCAAGTGTATCCAGCGCGTGGTCTCCAGATGTTCCAGGTGTGAATCCGGCCATTTGTGCTTCCGGCTTCCTGGTGTTCGTTGCCGAGGCTCGCCGTGGCCAGAAAAGCCAGTTCGTTCCGTAGTCGCCGCTTCTCATGGCTATGCCCTGAGGGTCTGCTTGGGCCCGCTGGGGCCACCTCTGTGGTCTGCAGCCACTTGTTGCGATCCCCGCCCATCGCACGACCGTGTCGGGGTCCGCCTCGCCGCAGGCGTCCTCCGAATTTCGACCCCCTCGCCGGTGTCTCATGAGTCTGACCTGCGAGGGAAGGGGAATTTCAGGGGACTCGTTGCGGGATATAGGGTCAGGGGGGATGCATCGAATCGGCCACTCGCCCATCGATTGCGGACAGGGGCCCGATAGGCCCCAGCCCCATCCTGCCCAGGAACGTTCGGATTCGCAATCGGGGGCCTATCGTGGATCTGTCGGCGGTGCATCGCCGATTCAGGCCCGATGCCTCTCCTCCCGCTGAGCTGGCCCCACCCTGCCGTTGCCCCGCAGTGCGGTCTCCCCTGGGGGCTGTCGGTGCGCAGCCCTGGACCTGGCAACGGGGGGAAGGACGTCTCCAGAGGCCTGCCCAGGAAGCCCCAGGGGGGGCCAGCAGGGGGCCAGAAGCTCCAGCAACCTCCCTCCTCGAACGTCGAGGATCGAGAGGGGATGGAGGAGGCGGAGGAGGAGAAGGGAGGAGGAGGAGAAGGGAGGAGGAGAAGGGAGGAGGAGGAGGAGGAGGAGGAGGAGGAGGAGGAGGAGGAGGAGGAGGAGGAGGAGGAGGGAGGAGGAGGAGGAGGAGGAGGAGGAGGAGGAGGAGGAGGGAGGAGGAGGAGGAGGAGGAGGAGGAGGAGGAGGAGGAGGAGGAGGAGGAGGAGGAGGAGGAGGAACGACATTCCCGAGCATGTCTCACACAATCGTGCGATACTCAACCCACGAGCATAACACCGTGTTGACTGAAACATGGCGCCAGTCACTCTATGTCATGCGCGACGTGATTAATACAGCGTGATGTAGCACATGAACATCGTCGTACACAGCGATATGGTATGGAGTGATGTTGCGCTGTGTATGAACACGGTCCACGGTGGTATTCCAACTGCGAAAGGAGGTGTCCAGTTCTCCCCCCGACCATGCCGGTCGCCAGAAGGCTGGCCTTCGGTCGGCGCGCTGCTTGCAGAGCAGGGTTGGAGCAGGAGCAGCTGCGTCGCAGTCGGGACAGCTGGTCGGGGACGCCAGAGCAGGGTTCAGCGCCAACAGAGGTTCAGCCAACCCCCTTCGATCCCCTCTGGCTGACCCAGGTTCTTGGGCTTACGCCGCACCGCCGACCCCTTGGGGGGCTCCTGGTAGGTCTCGCGGGGGCCTCCTGGCAGCGCTTTGAGGCCCTCTGGGGGCCGTTTTGGGGCCTCGTGGGGCCTCTTTTGGGGCCCTGGTGGGCCTCTTGGAGCCTCTTGGGGGCTTCTTGGGGGCCTCTTGGGTCCTGGAGGGAGGGGCCTGGGGAGGGGAAGCATCTCACACGCCGATGACCCCGAGGGGTCGGCGGATTTGGGAGCCGCGTGGGGCCGACCGCCCTCCGCCGGCCCAGGCTTGGGGGCCGCTGCGTGGCTGGCCTCCCAGGCTCGGCCCGTGGCCCTGGCCGACCCCCCGGCCAGCCAGCGCTGGCCCGGGTCGACGCGTCCCCGAGCTTGAAGGAGGCGGAGGCGGGCTCCCCGCCCCCCGCCCCCCCCCCCCCCCCCCTCCCCCTCCCTCCTTCTCTCCTCCTCCTCCTCCTCCTCCTCCTCCTCCTCCGCCTCCTCCGCCTCCTCCTCCTCCTCCTCCTCCTCCTCCTCGGGTCGCCTACGGCCCCGGGGGAGACCGTGCATCTCGCGGAGCTCCGAGAGTTTATGGCTCTGCCGCTTTTTGGGTTCTTCCTCCCACGTTTCTGTGAGGATGGGCGGGGCGATGGTGCGGGCGGGGGGAAGGCGGAGCGTGCCATTTCTCCCCCCGCTTTCCTCCTCGGCCGGGAAGGTCGAGGTGCAGTTCCAGGCCGAAGAGGAGTCCCCTTTGGTTCGTCTCAGAGGGCGCCTTTGCTGCCCCCGATTGCACTTTGTCCTCCGTCTCCCTGTCCTTTTCTTCTCTCGGCAGCTGCTCTCTTTCTCTCCGCTCCTCTTCTGCACATCTCCAAACCGGTACTCGTTCGCAGTGTCATCCCCTTGCTCATGTTTGTGTGTGTGTGTGTGTGTGTGTTTTATTGTTTCTCTTTCTCGCTATATCTAGCTCTCTTCTACTTCCCGGCCGTCCGTCTTTCTGGTCGTCTCTCCATCCCCCCGTTTTTTGTATCTCTATGCCTGTGTCCGTGTCGCCGTCTCGTTGTTTGTCCGTCCGTGTCCACATGTCCTCCATGGCGTGCAATTGTCCCTCTCGGCCTGGGAACGGGGCGCTGCGCAGATGGATCCGCGAAAAGTTCTGTGGCTAGGTCAGCGTGAGTGTGACTTGATATTGCGGCTGGACCATTGCTTCGCTCGAGAAGCAGGCTTAATATTTGTTTGAAAGCTTTTGGGAGCAAGACATTTCGACGACAGCTCCTTTATTCTACGGCGCCACCTTCTTCCTTTCGCCAGGGCCTGGCCCAAGGCAAGTGATTGCGAACCTGTTGTCTCTGCCTCTGCTCAGACGGAGCCTCTGCCAAGAATGGTGGTCCCTGGTGTGGCGCTCGACTCGACTTGCGCCCCTGGTCGGAGGAAGCTCTGGCCAAGCCAGCTCGGACCGAGCTGCCCTGCCACACTCCTCGAGCGAACAACAGCTGCGCAGACGTGCACTTTGGGCACTCCGCGCGGGCCTCTTGGATCGGCGCTGGAATCCCCCTCCGATGCGCGCGGATCGCGCCGGCGGCGGCGCCCGAGGCGCCGCCACGGGACTCCAACGCGGGATTCCCAGAAGCCCGCGCAGAGCTCAGACAAAGAGGTCTACGCCGTCCTTCGGCGGCGAGCGAGGGGGGGAAGCGAGAAGGAGAAGGCCTTCTCGGAGGGCGGCGGGACGTCTCAGAAGCCCTCGCGCCCTCCGAGAAGTTTGTTTGGTGTCTTCGGGGAAGGCTTAGAGAAAACTTCTCAGAAGGCCAGGGGACTTCCGAGCCTTCCGAGAAGCCCCGCCCCTTCTCACTTCCCCCCCTCGCTCGCCGCCAAGTCCTGTCTTAGGGGGCCACATGCGAACCCTACGTCTTCCTCCATTGCCGCTCCCGCGCGCCGCGCAGAGAGACCCGATGGGGCCTCGCGCACGCGGCCGCTGTGCAGGCGGCCGTGCCGCCGGGCTCCGCCCGCCGGGGGGCCTCCCCTGAGAGGGGCTCGGCGAGGGGCCGCGCGGGACACCCCGGCAGCAGGTCTTGTTCTCTGGTGGCCTTCGGCCCATCTCACCACCGTGCCTGGGTTGCGCGGTAGAGGGATGGGGGAACAACAAGTGATATACACATAAAAACTCGGAGTTCCGCGCGGATTTCTCGGGTCGGCGCTGGGGCCCCCCAGCGGCGCCTCCAGCGCCGACCCGAGAAATCCGCACGGACCTCCGAGTTTTTATGTTTATGTTTCTTTTGTTCCCCTAAGGGAAGCAATCACGGTAGGTTTGCGTCGTGTCGACTGGCGGCGACTTCGCCGCGGGCGTTCAAGGTTGATTGCCGCCAGTGGCCCAGAGATGGCCTACGTGGAACGACCGAGTGATCGAAAGTCGCCGATCGTTCAAGGTTGAACGCTGCCAGTGGCCCAGATTCGGCCTATATGGAACGATCGAGTGATCGAAAGGCGCCGATCGTTCAAGGTTGAACGATCCACGCGGTGTCAGAAACCAGCGCCTGGGTCGTCACGACACGAATCTGCCGTACCGGACACTCCCCCTCTCCCCAAGATTCAAGGCTGGCACGCGCGGGGAAGACTGCGGCGGAAGTGCAGCTCATTCAACCCACCGCCAACATTGATCATTTGGGGGGGGCACTGATAAAAGAATGTGGCACGAGCGTTCGCCAATTTCTTCCGAGGCCTGTAGGTCATTGCCCTCTTGGATGCCTGTTGGGGTCTCTTGAGCGGACTCTGGGGAGTCTCGTGGAGGCAGCTTTGGGGTGTCCTGGGGCCTCTTCTGGGCCTCTTGGAGGCTCCCTGGGGTTTCTTGGGGGCCCCTTTTGGGCCTGCTGGCGGCCTCGAGGCTCAAAATGTCAATTCATGTTCCCTCTCTCCGGCCCCTCTTGGGGCCCTCTTGGGCCACCTCATGGGCCTCGTTGGCCGTCTTGGGGCCGTCTTGGGACTTTGGGGGCCTCTTGGGTCTTCTTGGGGCGATCTTCTGGTCCTCGTGGGCCGCCTTGAAGCGTCACAGGCGCGACAAAACGAGAACGCCAAACTGTTTCAATTATTGATGGGAGATCCACATTTTTTGCATCTTGGGGCCCTCTTGGGGGGCCTTCGAGCCCTCTCGGGGCGTCTTGGGGGCCGAACGCTCTTGGGCCGCCTTGGGACCCTCTGGGACCGTCCTGAGGGGCCTTTGAGGGCGCCCTGGGGCCGTCTTCGCGCCCTCTGGCTTCCCTGGGAGGGTCGCGCGACCGTGCCCTGGTGGCGTCCGGAGCGCCCAGAGCTCGGGGCCGTGGGCACCGTCTCTCAGAACGCCTGCGATGCCCAGTGACGGAGTTACGGAGAAGTCTTATCCGGCGGCGAGCGAGGGGGGGGGAGTGAGAAGGAGAAGGCCTTCTCAGAAGGCGGCGGGACTTCTCAGAAGCCCTCGCGCCTTCCGAGAAGTTGTTTTTATGTCTTCGGGGAAGGCTTAGAAAACCTCTCAGAAGGCTGGGGAACTTCCGAGCCTTCCGAGAAGCCCCGCCCCTTCTCATTTCCCCCCCCGCTCGCCGCCAACTTGTGGGACCTGAGGGGACTCCACTACCGAGGCGCAGTGCCGATGCTGTGCGTTCAATCGCGCGGCTCGAGTAGGCTCATCCTGTCGATCTATCGCTCGCGTGGCTCGCATCCTCGTTGAGTTTCAGTGAGGGCGAGGCTTCTACACAGCCCTAGCTCAGGAGGGGTACACGTATGTCCTTCGTGTTTTGACCTCTTCACCTGGTTGTTGTTCTTCAGTTTGGAGTGTCTCTACGGGGCATTGGGCCATCGGCCAGGGGGTTCGTGTTCTTGACCCATGTTCTTGTGGCCATGTTTACCCGAACCCATAGTGGGCCCATGCCAAGGAGTTGGTCGTCTTCCGCAACGATCCCTGGCAGAATTTCGTCCGCAGTCGCGTGACACAGGCACGCTTGCTGCCCTGCTTGCGCCAGTAGGAGCCAGATGAGCATCGGCCTTCCATCGAGAGTGAGTGGCTCCTGGCTGCAGCCGGCCTGCACGAGTCGCAGTTAGATGGCGAGGGCTCGCCGTGCTTGTTCCCGCGCATCGTGTATCATCACTCTGCGTCGAAGTCACGAATTCCACTCCCTGTACCTTGTCGTATCATTTTCATTGTTGTTGCCGTCATCTCTGAGATTAGGTTGGTAGTCGGAATGAACATAATGCTGCTATTTATTGTGTGCGTGTGATTATATCTACAGACGCACCGCTGGACGCCCTCTGCTGAATCGGCCGCCTTATCAAGACCTCTTCGCCTCTACACCCAAATCCAGCGACCCAGCTTCGGCTCACAATTGTGAGCGAATAGGGAAAATGCTCGCACGCGCGTGTGTCCGCGGCTGGGCTTCCTTCCTCCTCCTCCCGTGCACTGCGGCTTACTTCGCCTTTTGTGTGCCCCACCAATGCCACATCGCCAGAGCAGTCCCTCTGCCAAGCCGCCGACGGAAAAGTGTGTCCGCGGCCGGGCGCCGTCCTTCCGCCGCTCCTGTTCGCAATTTCTCCGCCGCGTTACTGCGCGTGCAGCCGCACCTGACCTGCCCGCGCGCCTAACACATGCGCGTGTTCCAGGCCACACCTGGGCCCCCGCTGCCCCTGCTGCCGTCCCGCCAGCCGCCGCCCCGCCGCGTGAGGCCCGGGCGTCCTTCCACTTGCCACCACGGCAGGCGTGTCACTGCCTTCGGCCACGCATCGCCAGAGAAGCTTTTCGCCCTGGCCGCATGCGCCCGGCAGTGTTCGTGTGCGTGCGTGTTTGTGTGTTTGTGCATTTGTGTGTTTGTGTGTTTGTGTGTTTGTGTGTTTGTGTGTTTGTGTGTTTGTGTGTTTGTGTGCTCGTGTGTTCGTGTGCTTGTGTGTCGGTGTGCTTGCGTGTTTGTGTGTTCGTCTGTGTGTGTGTTGCGTGTATGTGTGTTCGTGTGTTTGTGTGCTTGCGTCTTTGCGTGTTTGTGGGTATGCATGTTTGTGTGTTTGCGTGTTTGTGTGCTTGTGTGTATGTACGTGTGTGTGCCTCTCCTCCGCTCTCCCCGCGTTCCGCCGTGCCCTGCTTCGCTCGCGGCGCGCTCCGCCCGCAGCACGACCAGCGCCTGCCTGCACTTGCTTCGGCTCGCCTGCGCCCGCCGACTTGCAAAGTGCGCGCGTGTGTGTGTGTGTCTGTGTGTACACATTGCTCATTTCTGATTCTTCGAAAGGTCTTTGATTTTTTAGGGGGTCCAAGGTCCTTTCACTCCTGATTGTTCTATCCTGGGCCTCTTCCTGGCCACTGGGGGACCAGGAACAGTCAGAAACGAGCACAATCAGAAATGAGCACGATTAGAGATGAACGACGTGTGTGTCTGTGTGTGTATGTGACTGCGCGCGTGTGTGTGTGGTCCACCCTCCGCCACGCTCCCTCGCCTGCTCGTTTGCCTTTTGCCCCTCTTTTCGCTCTCTCCTCCCCGGGCGTTACGTTTTCCCTGCCCGCGCCTGCCTGCTGCTGCTCGGAGGCTTGGGTTCTTGCTGGACCGCCCTGGGGTTTCCAGCTGGCATGTTGCCACGCAGTGCGGTCAAGCTGCTCAGAGCGACGCCCGTCTTTGCTGTGCTGGGGGCTGCGCTTCACCACTGCTTTGGAGGGCCGTATGTGCAATATGATTACATGTCCACAAATACATGCATACATGAGATATTGTGTATATGTAGACATATGTGTATATACCTATACGACCACCCTTCGGGTGATAAGGAGGTAAGGGGGGGGGAGGGACCAACGTCGCACTCGATCGATCTCACTCTCGATATCACTATCGATCTCACCATCGATCTCACATTCGGTCTCACTATCGATCTCACTATCGATCTCACTATCGATCTCCCATTCGGTCTCACTATCGATTCCACTATCGATATCACAATCGATCTCACATTCGGTCTCACTATCGATCTCACTATCGATCTCACAATCGATCTCACATTCGGTCTCACTATCGACTATCGATATCACTCACAATCGATCTCACATTCGGTCTCACTATCGATCTCACTATCGATCTCACAATCGATCTCCATTCGGATCTCACTATCGATCTCACTATCGATCTCCCATTCGGTCTCACTATCGATCTCACTATCGATCTCACAATCGATCTCACAATCGGTCTCACTATCGATTTCACTATCGATATCACAATCGATCTCACAATCGATCTCACATTCGGTCTCACTATCGATCGCACTATCGATCTCACAGTAGATCTCACAATCAATCTCACATTCGGTCTCACTATCGATTTCACTATCGATATCACAATCGATCTCACAATCGATCTCACATTCGGTCTCACTATCGATATCACTATCGATCTCGCAATCGACGTTATCATCATCATCATCATCATCATCATCATCATCATCATCATCATCATCATCATCAACATCAACATCAACATCATCAACATCGTCATCATCATCATCATCGCCATCATATCATCATCATCATCATCATCATCATCATCATCATCATCATCATCATCATCATCATCATCATCATCATCATCATCATCATCATCATCAACATCATGATCGGGACACCGACGGGACACCGACGGGACACCGGCAGGACACCGGCGGGACACCGCGCGCCACCGGCCGCCCGGTGGAGAATCATTTGGTCCGGCCGCGCCTCAGCCACAGAGGACACCACCGGGACACCGGCGGGACACCGCGCGCCACCGGCCGCCCGGTGGAGAATCATTTGGTCCGGCCGCGCCTCAGCCACAGGAGACTTTCCTCTCGCCCGCCCACGCAGCTTCGCCTCGCCCGCACGCACGGCACGCACGAACACGAAACCGAAATCGATTTCCCGGTAGGGGGTCTCTCCGTTCCACTTCGATCTCACCCCCTCACTTCCGATCTTGGTCTAGGAGTCCAGGGTGCCCAGGGCCCAGGGCCCGACAGCGCATGGCGGGACCGGGGCCCGTCCCGAAAGGCTTCCTAGACGTCCCCACAGGTGGGGGCCACCTGGGCCCCCGTGGAAACGTTGGGGGCATTCTGGGGCAAAGCCACCTCTGGCAGCATCCGATCTGTGTGATCACGCAGGCGGACAGCGCGGGCAGGAGATCGGGCAACCGACTCGGGGCCGTCGTTCTCCACTCTCTTTCTCCGTCTCCGAATCGCTGGTGGGCAAATGACAAGCCAGAGGTGTGCTGTTATTCGCGGCTGCTCGACGAGGTTCTACAGTGTGTGAAACATCCTACTTAAGTGCATACACTTATGAGGCGTATGCACTGTGCGTTCCAGAGAGGGCCTCGCATTGGAGAGGTCGAAGGAGCTGACATCTCATCTTTGGCCGAAGGCGGCGGAAGGTCAGCGGAAACCAGTGGAAGCTGGCGGAAGCACACGGGGGCGTCTCCGCCGGCGGAAGCCGGCAGAAGAGCGGCGGAAGAAAAGGTGCGATCCCCAGACATGAGTTTCGTAGGGGGTTCAAGGTGTCCAGAACCGACCACATATACACATCAGCATTGTGAATTCTCTTGCGTGCGCCTTGGGAATCGATTTGCCCCTGCTCACTGGACGCATGCTGCGCATGATAGGCTTGCTGCCCTGCTCCACGAATAAAGGCATGGAGGTGGAATCAGCATGTGCGTTGACGCCTGATTTCTGCTTAGCTTGTCGCTTGCTCCTCATCCTCCCCCCGTGGCGGAATGTTTTGTTTTGGGGTCTGGATCCTTTTCAAAATCACCCCCCTGGCCTCTCCTGGAGTGCTTTCTGGCCGGGATCTCGAAGGAGATCCAGCCGCGGCGACGAGGAGCGCCCCAGGAGCACCAACACGAGCGAAAGACTTCAAAATCCTGGACCTCCTCCCTCTCCTCCCTTCTCCTCCCTCTCCTCCCTCCTCCTCCTCCTCCTCCTCTTCCTACTCCTCATCCTTCTTCTTCTCCTCCTCCTCCTTCTCCTCCTCCTCCTCCTCCCTCTCCTCCTCTCTCCTCTCCTCCTCCTCCTCCTCCTCCTCCCTTCTCCTCCTCCTCCTCCTCCTCCTCCTCCTCCCTCCTCTCCATTTCCTCTGTCCTCCTTCTCCTCCCTTCTCCTCCTCCTCTCCTCCTCCTCCTCTCCTCCCCTCCTCCTCCTCCTCCTCCCCTCCCCTCCCTCGTCTCCTCCTCCTCCTCCTCCTTCTCCTCCTCCTCCCTTCTCCTCCTCCTCCTCCTCCTCCTCCTCTTCCTGCGCAGGCGCTTGGCCGCCTTCACCTCCTGCTCGGACTCGCACTCGTACAGCTCGATCCGCTTCCGTCCCGTTCTCGTGCGGCAGCTGGCCCTTTATGAGAGGCAACTCCAGCCCAAAGTGCGTGTGTGGTGACCTGGTGATGGGAGGGGCGTCGATCTCGCACCAGCGTCTGCTTGCTGGCCTGCCTCTGTCCCCTCACTTTCGGGTGAGTCTCCTCCTCCTCCTCCTCCTTCACCACCACGTCCTCCTCACTCCCACAGGCGATGTCGTAACCGTGTATCGGGCATCGCCTGTTTATGCATTTCCTGATGTGCACGATACTATGTTTGCGGACCCCCCTCGCCAGCCTCTGCTGCGAGGCGTGTAGCGGGCTGGGAAATCTGATCGTGGGATGGATGGACGGAGAAGACAGAATTGGTTGATTTTTGCGTGCATGCGTCTGTGCCTTGGGAGCAAAATTCTCCACCCTTCTCCCTGTTCTTTGCGTCCTGGGGCGTCCTCGGATGATGCTTGGTAGAGTCCAGAACCAGAAATAATGCTCCTCTTCCTCCTCCTCCTCCTCGTCCTCGTGTTCCTCCTCCTCCTCCTCCTCCTCCTCCTCCTCCTCCTCCTCCTCCTCCTCCTCCTCCTCCTCCTCCTCCTCCTCCTCCTCCTCCCCCCTCCCAGCGTGGTTTGTCGGACGGGCCCGCGAGGCCGTCGTGGTGATGTCCGTCGTCGGCATTTTGGTCTGGATGCCGTACGTGTGGCTCCGCTCACGCAGGCCCCTGCGCCTGGGAGGCTGCCCAAAGCACAGCTGGGCTCAGGTGCGACGTTGGGGGGGGGATGGGCTCCTCCTCCTCCTCCTCCTCCTCCTCCTCCTCCTCCTCCTACCCAAATCACCGTTGGGCTCAGGTGCGACGTTGGGGGGGGATGGGCCCAGGGGGGGCTACGAGGGATAGGCACAAGGGGGGTTCGAGGCCTGAGGGTTCCGGCATTTTCGTACGGTCTCCGCGGCTTCCCGGCCTCGGGATGCTTCCCAGCGGTTGCGCCTCGTCGAGAGTATTCCAGGGGTGCTCGGATCTTCCCGAACGACCGCCGCAGAGCCGAGTTATGACCCGAAAGCGAGGGGCAACATTCGGGGGGGTATAGACTCAGGGGGTGGGGACGCATCGACCCCCAACCGCCCATCCGTCGCCGACAGGGGCGCTATAGCCCGTCCCCGCCCTGGACCGTGCGAAAACGCACTTGGGGGGCCTGTCGCCGATCTGTCGGCGATGTATGGCCGATTCCAGGCCTACGTGTCCATTCCCGAGCAGGTCCCCCCCCGAACGTTCTCCCTCAACATTGTATACATCTTATGAGCATGTGTACCCAGCTCCTGGCTGTTGCTCGTTCGACCGCAGGCGCTGAACAGACGGGAGGCATCGGAGGGGCCTGGGGGGTCCTCACTCGATTTGTTGTGCATTTGTTTATCGTTTAGAGTTCTTGTGCGTGCTCGCCTCTTCTTCATCGGCACCATCTTCAGCATCATCATCGTTGTCGTCGTCGTCATTATCACCATTACCGGCAACATAATCATCACCATCAACATTCTCATCACTGTCAGTATCATGTGCGTCATCACCACCACCATCGCCAACGGCATCATCCTAAACATCATCATCATCATCGTCGTTGTCGTCGTCGTCGTCGTCATTATCATCGTCATTATCATCGTCATCGTTCGTCATGGTCATCGTCATCGTCATCATCATCGTCATACTCATCATTATCACCATCATCATCATCATCATCATTATCAGCAGTATCATCACCCTCATCGTCGCCAGCGTCATTCTTGCCATCTTCATCATCAGTTCCATCATCTTCATCACCACCTGATCGGCCTCGTCATCATCACCACCGTCGTCAGCATCATCGTAATTGTCATCGTTGTTGTCGTCGATTTAGTCATCATCGCCACCATCACTGTCATCGTCGTCGGCGTCGACGATGTCTTCGTCACCATCGTCACCCGCACGGCCGAGTCATACAACTTCATGATAAGGGTCCCTGCGTCATTGTGGCCTTTGATTTTGCCAAGAAGTTGTGGGTGGGGCTTCGCCGAGGCCGGGAATATCCGCACACAATGTTGCAGTGCTTTTTGTTGATGTTGCACGATCGTTGTATTTGTAAATGTCGCGTTGTACCATCCCGGCCAGACGGTACCGACCCCTTGCCGTCTCTTGCAACAAGTTCCATGCGGTGCGCATGCGTTGATACAAGACATCTTTCTTTCGAAAGCAATTGCCCCATGCAAAAGACGGGGCACATGCACGCGCCGATGCGCGCGCATGCCAGAATTCTGCACGCGCGCACTGGCTGATACCATGCTACAGACAGGTTCTGAGCCATTATGCTAAGGAGGACGTTGCGGGCCACACACGCGCGCAGGCCGAAAACATTAAACGACAATCGCAAGCCCGCCAACTCTATCAGGCAATGCCCTTGGTGCCACACGCGCGCGCGGCTCCGCTCACGCACGCCGAAGTTCGTCCCGAACCATTGGCTTTAAAGCAGAAGCAAATTCAATACGAGTGTTCAACAAATAATGAAACCCCAATGATTCATCAAAACATGTATGCCAGGAATTCGGAATTTCTGCGGGCGTACACTTCATCATCATCCTCATCAGGACAACCGTTATCCTCATCGCTAGCGTCATCATCGTAATCACCATCGCAGATTCTGCGCAGGAGAAATTCTTCATCACGCCCCAGTCATCGTTGCCACCGTCGTAATCGTCACCATCAGCTTCATTATCACCATCGTCGTCATCGACATCGTCGCCTCCGTCGTCATGAACCTGATTCATATTATTGTTCTCACCCCCTGCGTTCTTGCGGTCTGTGTATCCTCTCGGTCCATAGAGCGCGCCCTCCGCGCGGGTGGGCTTCGGTTGCCAGCAGGGCGGAGCGGACGCGCACACAGCAACCCCCCAGGCCCTGCCGAACGTCCAGCCGTCGGCCGCCCGCGCGGCCACCCTTTTGGCCGCAGCGTCGGCCGGCCCGGGGCACGCGGTGGGCCCGTCGGCAGTGGGCTCGTTTGCTCCCGCCACGGCATCTACGGCATCCGCGGCTGTCCAGGCGCACGTTCACGACCGCCTCGCCGCGCCCTCGTGGTGCGCGAGCCTACGGGGGTCGGCGGAGCCGGCCCGGCCCCCGTGCCCGAGGGGTCGGGCTCTCGACCCGAGGGGTCGGACCGCGCGGAGGCTCCGCAGGCCCCCTCGGCACCCCTCGGTGCGGGCCCCCGCCACATCGCGGGCTTCGCTTCTCCCGAAGGCGTCGTCCGCAGGGAAGTGAGGTATTGCGCTCTCCTCCCCCTGTCACGGGGGACCCGCCGTCGTGGCAGGGCACGAGCTTGCTGTGCGCGAGCTCAGGGGTTCGAGGCTCAGGGCGCGACGGCGCGCCTGGGCGCTTCGCCTCTATCGAGGAAGCCCTTGACCACTTGGCCTGGGCGTGCGGCCCATACCCAGTGGGGTGGGTGCATTCCGTGCCCGCTAAACCGTGAGGGCGGGCGCACCGAGCCACCACTCTTCCTGCTGTCCCCATGGCTGCTGGTGGGAGCTGGAGCTCCAGCCCTTTGATTGGTGGGAGCCCGTGCCAGTGGTGATCCTGATGTGCCTCTCGCGTATGGTATCCTAGTCGACGTTGAGCTCCAGCCTCCGATCCATCTCGTAGGCGTCATAGCCCGCCCTACGCCAGGCATCCAGGAAGTCCTTGCAGGTCTGCACGTCGTTCAGGCGGGGGTTGCCTTTGGGCTTCCCTTTGTTGTGGTCAGTGGGAAACGAACAACAAGAAGCGCGTTCTTTGCCCGCTGGATTCCGCTGCAGACGCGGTGGGGTCTCTGGGGCGGCGGCCGCCTCCCCTTCCGCTGGGGAGCTGGGCCGCACCTCCGAGGGGCCAGCCTTGCCCGACCTCCACCCGCTCGCTGCGCCAAGCGCCACTGAGTATGAGCGTTGGCGTTTGGACGAAGGCGAAGTGAGTCACGCGGCGATCCCCGCTGGCCACTCGGTCAGGGGGCATCATGCTGGCGCTGCCTTCCGCCTTTTGATATTCGGAGGCTCTCCGCCCCGTGGAAGCCGACGGCTTCCAGTGGATTAACAGCCCCTATCAGGTGGTCGAGCTCCCTCGGCTCGGCGCGGCTGCGCCCGCTGAGCACCGCGGCCTCCGTCTTGGTGGTCGACATGGACGACGCGGATATGGAGCTGGAGTCTTTGTCCCTTGGCCGTTGGCCGACGGACAGGCAGAGGGGAGGCGCCCTTCTTCCCGTCGGCCCGTTGGCCGACGGGGAGGCAGAGGAGGCGGTTCTCTTCTGGGCTTCACGCGGCCGCTCCTACTGGCCGCGCCCTTCGGGAGTTCGGACCTTGCGCGACGGCTTCGTCGCGACGCGCGGGGGGCCCCCGACGAGGGGGAGGAGGCGCTCCCGGGGGCGGAGCGGACGACCCCCTGCTTACCAGTCAGCGCGCGTGCTGTAGTGGTGGAGGTCGAGGAGGAGGGCGCCGACGCCGACGGCGGCGATCTTCCTCCGCGGAGGCCCCCCCCCCCTCTCGCCGCGACGCCCCTCCTGAGAGGGGGGGCTGGGCGCCGCCCCGAGGAGGGCGGGCGCCGCGGCCCGCCCGCGGCCTGCGGGCGCCTGCTGCGCAGTCTCCGACGAGAGGGCGCCCATGACTCGTGCCGAGCTCCGGCTGGAGGTCCGTCGCCTGCTGCCCAGCGGGCCCCGGCGGCGGCTCCTCTGCGCGGCGCGCCCGCGGAGCCGTGCAGCCCTCGCGCCGAGGGATGCCGAGGGGGCCCGCGGTTCGCCGGCGGGGCGGCGCGCGCGCGGGCATCCCTCAGGACGAGCGGCGAGCGCTGCGCGCCCGAGCTCCCGCCGCTCACGCAGCGGGCCCAGAGCCGCGCGCCCCCGCCAGCGCCGGCCCTGGCGGCGGACTGGGGCAAGGGCGGGCCTGGGAGCGCTCGGCCCCCCCCCCGCCCCCTCCGCCTCGCGCCCCCGCCATTCCGGGCTCCCCCCGGCCCGGCAGGGCCCGTCGGGCCCTCGGCTTAGGCGGGGGGGGGCGTCGAGGGCGAGGGGCCCCGCCCTGCCGGCAACCCAGAGACCACTGTGGATCTCGCTCTGCCGCGCTTGCGGCAGGCGCTCCAGCTGTCGCCCCAGCCGCGGGCCGCAGCTCACCCGCCGCTGGGTGCGGGCAGTACTTATATCCATATCCAGAGCGTTGTGGACTTTTTGGGAAGAGGTGCCGCAACGCCGAGGCGCACTGGATATGGACAAAATCAAGGCTCTTGGGGCCAGATTTTTATCCATATCCAGTGCGTCTACGGTTTCTGGGGAAGAGAGCCCAAGAATCCAAGACGCACTGGATGTGGATATAACTATTGCCCGCAGCTGGGGATCCAGTCAAAGGAGGGGCCGTCTCGACCTCGACGCGCGGGGCCGCGCGTCGAAGGGGGCGGCAGCGGGCGCCGGCGCAGCGCGGGCCCGAGGTTCGCGCGCTGGCGAAGGCGAATTAGGCCCGAACGGCGGGGATGGAGGCTTCCGCCGTGACCCCCCTGGCTCCGCCCCAGCACTGCGACGAGCAGAGCCCGCTGGGGGCCCGCCCCGCGACGCGCGAGATACTGGCGCATTCCGCGTGGCTCAGTGCGGAGCTGTGGCGCGCGCCCGAGAGCGGCGACGCGGACGAGGCGCAGACCCTGTTGGCCTGCCCGCGCACGTTGATCCACGTTGATCGACCAGCTGGCGGGGGGCCGGGGCTATCTGGGCGCCGCGCGGTTCCTCGCGGGGACGGGCCGCCGCCTCTCGCGGGCGTCCAGCCTCCACGCGGGGCGGGAGACCCCTCGCGGACCCCCGCTCGCTTTCGGATCAGGGCGAGCGCGCGTTGGCAATGGCCCCCGTCGGGTTTCGCCTGGAGGCCCAGCGCGCGACAGGCGCCACTGGGGCCGCCATAGCCAACAATCCCCTCCCGGAAGGCTCCCGCCGGGGGGGGGTCTTCGCCAAAAGCCCCCAAGCGGGGTCTGAGGGGGGGGGGGGGCACGCGAATGTCGCGCGCGGCCGCCGAGGGTCGGAGCCGGAGCCGCGGCGAGTCGGCGCCGCAGGCTCCAGGCGAGCGGCCCGTTGTGTCGTGCGACGACCTGCGCGAGTTCTGCTAGACCTTTCAGGCGCCCGTGTCCGTGCCGAGCGGAAGGCACCGCGAGTTCGGCGCCCTGTTCGAGCCGATAGAAGTCGTTGCGACCCGAGCTAGAAGGGCCCGATGTGTCCCCGTGCTTGAACGCGTCGGCCACGGGCATCAACATGGCGGCTAAGATCGGCCATGTTACCCAAAACGGTCTGCCACGCAGCTGCGGGGTGCTCTGGCCCCAGGAGCAAGCGGCGCGCCGTTCCCCGTTCCCGCGGGGCCATGTCGTAGAGCCAACGATCACATGGTTTCCAAAAGCTCTCCTGTGAGGGATCTGCCCACCCGTCATGACGATCCGATTCGCGGGGGCGAGAGGGGTTTTGTTGCGCGCGGTCATGGCTGCCCTACTTGAGGATTGCTCTAGCATCTTGGCAAGCGCGCCCGCGCCGCGACCCACAAGGTCGTCGTCGGCGCAGAGGTGGAAGGTGGGATCGGCATAGTCTGCGTGCCGCTCGTCCGAACGGTGGCCCTCTGCAGACTAACGGCTAACGCTCATGCAAGTGTACTTCGGGCGCTCGCTCGACGCACGCCATCTTGGCGCCGTTGGTGGGACGTTGGTTTCAGGTTGTCCTGTACCGCCGACCTCCGCTTTCGGTTGTTACCCGCATCTTCGCCCTCCCGCCGACTTTGGAGGCAGTGGGCGGAAGTGAGCACGTGTTAGTTACCCAACTCTATTCGGGACGAGCTGCTGGCCTGCACGTTCCGTTACGGCGAGGACCGACCTTCATGCAGGGTGCGCTCCCGAAGCGTTCGGTGCGGATGGTTCCCTCGTTTGGGGGGAAGTAGCCCGCGCTCCGATCAGCTCGCACTTCTCTGCCGAGCTCTGGCGCCGCTCGGAGCGCGGCGGTTGGCATCCCATGTTGCACGACCGTCGTTTGCTCGCTGTCCTGAGCCGCGGCGCCCCCTTGGGCCCTGAGCCCACCCAGCCGCATCAGGAACCGAGGCTCTTCCTTCCTCCGAGCCTCCAGTCGCCCCGCGCTGGGTTGCGGAGCTCTCGGAAGTCATCCGCTTCCGCCTCGTCTGCAAATGAGAGTCCCGCGTGCCGCGCCACGTGGGTATCCTGGAAACTGCCGTCTGTGAAAGCCGCGGACAGCTGTGTTGCGTTAGGCCTCCCGATTCGAGGGTGTCCCCGCCCTTGGAATCTGGAGTGGCTCTAGGCGCTGCCGCGCACGGCGGACGCAGCAGTCCCTCTGGTCTGTCCCATATCCTCAGCACGACACTACCTTGCGTCATTGGGGGGTCTCCACATAGCTGCCGACGCACACAGAGCCGACGAGACCACGCGCCGTCGGGCTGTCCGCCCCCCTTCCCGTGTGCCCCCCGGCATGGCATGCGGATGCGGAAGTGGCGCCCTGTTCCAGGCTGGGCTGCGGCGCTTGCGGGTTCTCGCGCGCCCTTCCCCACCTGCTTGCGGGGCCGTGCCGTCGCGCCCCTTTTGGCTCGCAGCCCACGCGGGGGCGGGGACGGCCGCCGCGGCGAGCGGCGCCGAGGGGCCTCCCTCTGCTGATGCCCCTGGCGCCCAGGCCGCGGCCGCCCTGGCCCCGCAACGCGTTGCTCGGGCAGCGCGAGGCGCCGCTCGGCGCTCCCGGAGGGGCGGCTCGCGCTGAGACGCCCCCTCCCATCGCCGCTTCGTGGTCCCGGCGCGATCGCGGTGTCGAGGGCCGCCCCCGAGGCCCCCCCTCCGCGGCCGCTGCTGGTGGTCCTGGCCCTCCCGGGCCAGAAGCTCCGCTGCACGACGGGTTCCACCGAGCACCAGCGGCCTGGGACGACCTGCGGCAGACCTTCCAGCCTGCCGCCTCCCTCGGGGCGGCCCTCCGGGACAGTCTGCAAGAACTTCTTGCCGTCCAGCCCGCGGCACACCAGTTCCAGCGCCCCGTCTCCTTCTGGGGTGCGTGAGCTGTTGGCCCCGGTTCCGTTGTCATCCTGACGGGCCGCTGCGGGGGCTGCCCCAATGCGGCGCCGCTAGTGTCAGGGCGCCGTATCATGCAAGCCAAACCGTGTGAACAGTTGGCGTCTCTCTGCACGCGGGTGCGCAGACGGAGTGCTCCACGCTCTGATCGCCCCGCCCCGCCCTTCTTCTGCAGTCGGGGTCCCCGCAGACCGCGCCGGGGGGGAATCCCTGCTCGCACAGCAGCACCTCCCGCCACATGAGGTTGGCGCGGAGGGCGTGTGCGGCCCTCGCGCCAGGCGGACCTCGGCTCGTCGAGCTGTTGCGGCCTCCCCCCCCCTCTCCTCGTCGAGGGTGAGGGTGCCCTCCTGATCCTCCTCTTCCCTCCTTTCGGATGCAACTCCTGGGTGGTCCAATTCCGATTTTGCCCTGGTCCGAAATCCGGCTTAGTCCCATTTACTTTGGCCTAATCCTGCTGAGTCCGGCTTAATTCCGCTTGATCCGCGGCCTAACCCGGCGTAGCAGCCCCCCAATGGGGCCTAATTCTCTCTATAGTCCTTCAGACGAAGACCTCCCAGTAGTTGCCTTCCAACTCTCTCCTGCTCGTCCTTTCCAGACGAGGAGTGCCGTTTCGTTTGCGCAGCGCCTGGGCGAAGCCGGGCAGGGACAGGAGGCGGATCCGCCCGGGCCTCCGCCCTCCCCAGGGGCGAGAGCGACCAGCCTCGGACGCCCCCCTGGCCGCGGTTGGCAGCGAAAGCAGCGGTGTCAGCAGCAGCAGCAGCAACAGCAGCAGCAGCAGAGACCGATGACGATGATAAGACAGATCGTGGCGGCGCGCACAGGGGGCTTCGGGGGAGGGGGGAAGGCTTCTCAGAAGCACCCCTGCTTCTCAGAATGGCGCGGGCCTTCTCTGCAGATGTAGGGCCGGCTCCTTCCAAGAAGCAGCCTCCTTCCAAGAAGCCCTTCCCCCCTTCCCCTACCCCCCTTTGCGCGCCGCCAGAGACCAGCAATCGTTGAAGCGGGCCTCCGAGCGTACTTCTGCTCCTGCGGTCTTTTGTCTCTCCAAGTCATGCTGGCTGTGGCAGGGAAATCTGGCTGCCAGCCCTGAGCCCAGGATCAGTGTGAGGCAGGTTCGCGGCATGTCGACACGGCGGCGACGCTAGCGCGGGCCCCTGGATGAACGCCCCGTCGGCCCCCAGATCGGCCGATGTCGAACGATCTGCGCTACTGGCCGGCAAGCCGCGGAGGAGGAGGAGGAGGAGGAGGAGGGTGAGGGTGAGGCTGAGGGTGATGAGGACGGCAGTGATCAGGATGATGAGACGAGCACGATGGTGCACATGCTGATGTTGTTGGCGACGGTCACCGTTACAGTGCTGGTAATGGTAACGATGTTGACGACGATGATGATGAGGATGATGATGATGATGATGACGATGATGATGATGATGATGATGATGATGATGATGCTGATAATGATGATGATGATGTGAATGATGATTATACTGATGGTGATGATGATGATGATGATGACGATTATGATGAGGATGACGATGATGATGATGATGATGATGATGATGATGATGATGATGATGATGATACTGATGCTGCTGCTGATGAGGATGTTGGTGCTGATGTTGCTGATGATGATGCTGATGATGATGATGAGGATGATGATACGATGCTGATGATGCAGATGCTTATGATGATGCTGATGCTGATGTTGATGCTGATGCTGATGCTGATGGTGATGATGAGGATGACGATGAGCATGATAATCATGCCGATGATGATGATGCTGCTGATGATGATACTGTTGACGATGATGATGGCGATGAAGATGGCGATGATGCAGATGGTGATGATGATGCTGATGCTGTTGCTGATGCTGATGATGATGCTGATGCTGATGCTGATGCAGCTGATGTTGATAATGATGATGATGATGATGATGATGATGATGATGATGATGATGATGATGTTGATGATGATGGTGATGATAATGATGCTGATGATGCGGATGATGATGACGATGATGATGATGCTGATGATGATGATTATGATGATGATACCGATGATGGTGATGTTGATGCTGCTGATGAGTATGATGAGGATGACGGTGATGCTGGTGATGATGACGATGATGATGTCGCTGATGCTGCTGATGATGCTGATGATGGTGATTGGATTGTGGTGGTGGTAATGGTGGTGGTAATGGTGATGGTGATGGTGATGATGACGGTGATGGTGATAGTGATGATGATGGTGATGGTGGTGATGGTGATGGCGATGGTGATGATGATGGTGATGATGCTGCTGATGATGGTAATGATGAGGATTGTGATGATGATGGTGATGGTGGTGGTGATGGTGATCATGATGACGAGGATGAGGAGGAGGAGCAGGAGGAGGAGAAGGAAGAGGAGGGAGGATGGGGGGGGTGAGAGTTCAGAAAGAAATGGCATAATCCGCGCAGGGTGAAAGTCGACCTGCGCTACCGAGTGAGCCTGCGCCCTACACGGCCTCGATCCGCTGGTCGGCCATGGTCACGCCTCGGTGGACGGGGAGGGGTTGGAGGGGGCGAGCTCGCACCAGGGACTTCAGTGGCGAAATGCTCGTCTGAGTTGTTAGTTCGTTTATTCTTCACCCAGATGCGTTTTTCTCCATCCTGTGTTGTTGGTTGTCCTCCCTCCTCGCTCTGCCTACCTCACTCTCCCTCCTGTTCCTTGCTACTCCGTCCTCCCCTGTCTCCCGTCCCTCCGTCCTGCCTCCTTCCTGCCCCTGCTGCTGTTGCTGCTCCTCCACCATTTGCTTTCGTTGTCCGTATGACACGCCTCAGCACGCCCCAGCGTGCCGCTGGCAAGGTGGCGGTTTCAGTGTTTTATGCCGCGGCATCGCAGTCACTCTGCTCGAAACCGACATGGTGCAAGGTGTCTCGCATGGAGTATAGTTGATATACGCCTGCACTTATCCATGTTGTTTTGACGTAGCTCATTTCTTCTAAGCGGTGGTACGTCTTCACATTGAGTAAGTTGTTTTGGGTCTGGCATAAGATCGATCTGTTGGGGTCCAGAATAGCTAGTGGCCTTCGGCACATCCCGCCTCCGTGCCTGGGTTGTAGGTCAGAGGCTTCTTGGATGTCTGTTGAGATCTCTTGAAATGCCTCTCGGAAGCATCTTGGAGGCAGCTTTGGGGTGCCTGGGGGCATCTTGTGGGCCTATTGGGACCCCATGTGGGCCTCTTGGAGAACTCCTGCGGCTTCTTGGGGGCTTCTTGGGCGCCTGCTGGTGAGCTGGGAGGCCTCCTTTGGGCGGAGGGCTCGAAATCTCTGCTCGAGTTCCCCATTTTGGGCCCATGTAATCTTGGGGTCATCTTGGGGCCCTCTTGGGCCAATTCCGGCGCCTCTTGGGCAGCCGTGGGGCCTTCTGGAGGTGTCTTGGAATCGTCTTTGTGGCCTCTTGGGCTGTCTTGGGGCGACCTTGGGAGCCTCCTCGGCCGTCGTGGATGCTGGGGCACGCTGAGAGGCGAGTTTGCTAAACAGATGCTGCGTCTCGAGCGGCGGCGAGGTGGCGACGGGGCGGCGACGGCGGCTACATAGCCGCCAGACCGACCTTCAGCCCCAGACGACGGGCAACGACGAGGCGGCGACGGGGCGGCGACGGCGGCTACATAGCCGCCAGACCGACCTTCAGGCCCAGTCCCTTATTCCAAGAATAAGAACTCCTAAGTGCAAGCAGTTTTTGAGGAATGTATGTGTGTGTATATATATATATATATATCTGTACATATATATATGTGTGTGTGTGTAGAGAGAGAGAGAGAGAGAGAGAGAGAGAGAGAGACACACACACTAGACTGCACTGGCGCTTCGCGCTATGCACCTTGGTCCCTAATGCTTGGCATGCAGGCGAAAGCGCAGGAAGATATAATTGCGAATTTAGCGATATATGATTGTTGCTGCCTTTTTTCCCCGACATCGTTGTTACAATAATGTGGATACGCATCCTTCCCTCATGCTTCCTCTTCCTCTTCCTCATTCTCACCCTACCCTGCGAATGTTTTCCCATCCTCCTTAGGTTTTTTTGTGGAGGCTTCTCCTCGGAGAGCCTGTTGGGTGTCTTACGAAAGTGTTCAAAAGCTACTTGTGACCTTCTGGAGGCCTTCTGGGTTCCTTCTGGGGGCCTCTGGGGATTTCCTCGGGCCACCCTGGTTCCAACCGCGGTTTCCCTGAACGACCAGATCACGATTTAGAATGCTTCGAGGGGCATCTTGGGACCGTTTCGGGCCGTCATGGGGCTCTCTTCGGGCCCTGTTGGTCCGTTTTTGGGTGCGCTCTTAGATCTTAGACTGCCTGGCAGCCCTTTGGGGTAATTTTTGGGCGATGGTCTGGCCACCTGGGTGGTCTCGGAAGCCCGGTAGACCGAAGAACAGAGTACACGTTGTTCATTTCTAATTCGTCGAGTTCTCTGATTTTTTTGGGGGCCAAGATCCTTTCATTTCTAATTGTTCTGTTCTGGGCCTAGCACGATTAGAAATCAACGACGTGTATTCCCAAAATCATTCAACACCTATTGGGAAATCGAGGTTTCTCTTGCGTTTTGAATGCCTCTTAGGAGGTCTTCTTTCGGTCGACTTCGGGTGTCTGGTGGGTGTCTGGGGCCTCTTTGCTGGGGCCTCTTGGGGCTCTCGCGGGGCCGTTAGGCCGCCCTCATGACCGATCTGGGTCTGGCGCCTGGGCCCAGCAGGGGCTTCCAGGAGCACCAGAAAACCCAGGGGACCTTCTGCATGGGGTGGATCGGGCGGGGGTCCGTTTGGGGGAGATGGGACTTTCCCACCCTCCGGATTGCAAAAAGATAGAAAAGAGGCGACATACAAATAAAACAAAGAAAGTGTGCACATCTGCATATGTGTACATTTACATATGTATGTGTGTATATGTATATATATATATACACCGATGTGTGCATGCACGTAGGCGTGCATGCATTTGTGTATGTTTGTATGTATGCATACATTCATATATGTATGATTGTGTATGGACGTATGCATGCATGTTTTTTTGTTATATTATAGTTGTGTGCATGCAAGTATTTGTGCATGTGTGGCTACATTCACACATGCATGCATGTATGTATTTGTGTATGTATATGTGTGTATGAATGTATGCATGTCTGTTTGTATGCATGAATGTGTGTATTATGTATGTCTGTATGCATATAGCTGTGTATAACGGCATATAATTATGCGTTGCATTGCAGCGTGTTGGATTGTATTGTATGGTACTGCATTGTATTGTATTGTGTTGCATTGCATTGTAATATAATGTGTTGCATTGTATGTGTCTTGTATTGTGTTGTATTGGATGGGATTGCATTGAACTGTATGGATGGACGGATGGATGGATGGATGCATGTGAATGTGTATGTTTTTTGTGCATGTATGGATGTATGGATGTATGGATGTGTGGATGTATGGATGTATGGATGTATGGCTGTATGTATGCATGTATGTATGTGTGTATGTGTGTATGTGTGTATGTATGTATGTATGTATGTATGTATGTATGTATGTATGTATGTATGTATGTATGTATGTATGTATGTGTGTGTGTATGTATGTATGTATGTATGTATGTAGCTGTGTATGTAGTTACGTATGGGTGTTTTGTATCTTAGTGTATTGCATTGTATTGTATTGCATTGCATTGTAATGTCATGGGTTGCATTTTATATGTGTTGTACTGTATTGTATTGTATTGTGTTGTGGGATTGTATTGTATTGTATTGTATTGTATTGTATGGATGGAGGGATGAAGGGATGGATGTGTGTAGGTATGTATGTATGTATGTATGGATGTATGTATGCATGTATGTATGTATGTATGGATGTGTGTGTATGTGTGTCTGCATGCATGTGTGTCTGTCTGTCTGCCTGTCTGTATACGTGTATGTATGGATGGATGTATGTGTGCAACTATGCATGTCTATATGTTTGTTTGTATGCATGCATGCATGTGTGTATGTATGTATGTGCGTATGTATGCATGTATGCATGCATGTATATATGTATGTACATATGTACGTGCGTATGTACATGTGGGACACGGCCTCGTCCGCGTACAGATCGGCCCAGAGGATGCTCTGCAGTGGTGGTTCGCTTCGCCTCGCCTTGACCGAACGATGTCAACTGCCCGAAGCCGCCGAGCGCCCGAGACCGAAGGCTCCGCGCGGTGTCGGCGGCCTGCCGTCGTCGCGGCATGGCGCCTGCCTGTGCGAAGGCGCCCAGAGGAGGAGAGCGCGCGCGAGCCCGACCGTCGTGGAGCGCTGCGGCAGGGGTGCCGTCGTGCCCGCCGGCCGCGCTCACCGCGCGCGCGTGCGCCCCCGCGGGCAGCGTCAGGCGGGGTACAGGCTCAGGGGGGGGGAGGGAAAAAAAACACAGACACAAGTAATCGTCGATTCCCCAGAAAACATGGGAAAACATGGGAAGTGGGGGGGAAGACAAAAACCGAGAAAATATGGAGAACTATGGGGAATCTTTTTATCTGTGTGTATTGATTTGTGTGTCCTGGGGCCCCTTGACTCAGGGGGGGAGGGGTCCTGGCTGGAGGCAGGGGGTTCGAGTCGGCGGCGAGCGAGGGGGGGAGGTGAGCAGGAAAAGGCCTCCTCAGGAGGCGGCGGGGCTTCTCAGGAGCCGCTCCGGCCCTCTGGGGAGTCTCCTGCGGCTTCCGGGGAGGCTTCGGGAACCTCTCAGAAGGCGGCGGGGCTTCTCAGAGGCGCTCCGGCCCTCTGGGGAGTCTCCTGCGGCTTCAGGGGAGGCTTCGGGAACCTCTCAGCAGGCCGGCGGGGCTTCTCAGAAGCGCTCCGGCCCTCTGGGGAGTCTCCTGCGGCTTCCGGGGAGGCCTCGGGAACCTCTCAGCAGGCTGGGGGGGCTTCTCAGAAGCGCTCCGGCCCTCTGGGGAGTCTCCTGCGGCTTCCGGGGAGGCCTCGGGAACCTCTCAGAAGGCCGGGGGACTTCCGAGCCTGCTGAGAAGGCCCGTCCCTTCTCAGTTTCCCCCCGGGCGCTCCGCCGATCGAGGGTTTCGTTTCGGGGCGTCGTCGTTGGTTCTCTTCGGTCATCCAGCCTCCGGGTGCTTTCCAGAAGCTGCGCCGGGGAGAGCCGAGCTCTGACAGGAAAGACAACGTTAGAGGGACTAGGCTCAGTGGGGGATGAATCGACACCCGGTCACCCATTGATCGCCGATCTATGGATTCGCCCAGTAACGTCGCCAATCTATCGGCGATGTAACGCCGATTTCGGGTCGACGTTTCCCCCACATGAGCCTGGCCAGTCCCCCTCCCTAGCGTTCCCCTCAGCTGGCCCTCGGCGCCGAGGCCTCGACCTCCAGCGGTACTGGGAGATGCTCTCGGAGGGCCTGAGCGCGTCCGAGGGGTTCCAAGGACGGGCCTGCCTCTCTTGCTCAGAGAGGGACGGAACAGAGCACCGCGCCTGCAGGGGCGTCGACGGCCTCGCTGCGGGCCCTGTCTGCGCTGTCTTCACCTCAGCGGTCTGCCCCCTTTCACCACCAGTGCCGAGGAGGCCATGACCACTGCGCTGGAGGGCGTCGGTGCGCTCGCGCGCCCGGCTCCCTCGGCTCACCGGTTCTGGCCGGCCCCGGGTCCCCATAGTGTGGCTGCTGGGGGGAGGAGCACGATGACCATGACCCTTCGGGGGAAGACGCGCCATGACCACCAACGTAGGGTTCGAGGTCGATGTTTTCGGACGGTTTCGTCGGTTCCAGGCGATTCTCCAGCCTCGGGGTGTTTTCCAGCAGCTGCGTCTCGCCCAGAGCGTTCCAGGGGTGCCCGGATCGTCCCGAACGGCCGCGTGAGAGCCGAGCTATGACCCCCGAAAGTCCAGGTGGCCCTCCTCCCTTCCCTCGAGGGAGCGTCGCTGAGCTGAAGCAGCGTAAATCATCCGCCTGGCGCAGGGGAGATGGGGCACCATACGTGTCCCTGCGAGCTCCTCGGCCCCGTAGGTGCTCTCTGCTTCTCGCGAGAGTGGTGCTCCCTGTGCAGCGGGGCCCCGTACCACCTCGTGAGAGTGAGCCGTGGGGGGACGCGGGAGGTGAGACACGCGAGGCTCTGGCGTGCGTCCATGAGGGGCAGCGGCGTCGGCGGTGTGCGGGTCTCTCTCGGGGGGGGGCGCGGCACGGCCACAGCTGGGTGCGGGGGGGCGGGCGGGCCCCAATTGGCGAGCAGGCGCCGAGGGGGCGGGCGCGCGCGCGCGCGCCACTGCGAGCGGGGTCCTGACATGCGCACTCACTGCGCGACCCCCCATCGCCCATTCGTCGCCGATGCTTCGGGGGCCCGCTCGCGCCCGCTATGCTCAGGAGCGTGCGGCTCCGCTGTCGGGGGCACATCGCCAGCCTGTCGGCGACGCCTCGCCGCTTCCAGACCGACGCGCCCCCCCCCCCCCCCCCCCCGAGCGGGCGAGTCGGTTCCTGGGTCAGGGCGGCCCCGACCCCTCACGGCCGCGGCCTTGGACGTCCCCCGGTGGCCAGGGGGGGGCGCCCCGATGCAGGGAGGCCGGACCACGAGAACTGTGCACATGCACCGATCTTATCCACTGCCCATACTGGGCCGAGGATCGGCGTATGACGCCGTCTGGCGCGTGGGCAGGAAGACAAGGTCAAGCAATCACAGACAGCAATGGGTGAAACGCTGCGCCGGCGAAAGATTACGTAAGCATAAAAACTCGGAGGTCCGCGCGGATTTCTTGGCTCCACCCTGGGCCACCCTTCCTGGCGCGCGGAGCGCGCCAGGGGCGTCGCCGGAGGCGCCGCCAGGGGGCTTCAGCGCCGATCCGAGAAATCCGCGCGGACCTCCAAGTTCTTATGTTTATGTCATTGTTCGTTCCCCTACAGTGGAGACCCATGCCAAGAAACACCCTGCTTGCCTCCAGGGTGCCCTGGGTTTCTTGGGTTTCGATGGCTTTGCCCTGGCGCGCGTGACGCTCCCACATCAAAAGTCCATCGACGTCCTGGGGTCTCAGGGCTGGGCTTCTCGTGGCAGGCTTCTTGTGGCCTGGCCTGCACTGCATGTGCACATTTTGGCTCAAGCAGCGGAGGCTCAGGCAGGCTGCGTGGTGCCCCAGGGGGTGCTCACCGGCATCGCGCAGGCCCCTTCGGCCGTCCAGCGGGCGGCCGGACCCGCTCAGCAGAAGCGCTCCTGGGAGAGAAGCGCATTCGAGGATCTCGCTTCTGGCGGTGGGGCGGGGCTCCCCGTGCAGCCACGCCTCCTCGTCCTCGTCCTCGCGCTCGCGCTCGCTCTCTGCCTCCTCCTCCTCTTGCGCTTCGCCCTCGCGCGCGGCCGCCGTTCTGGTCCCTCGGCCTCGCCTCCTCTCGCCGTGCTGCTGAGGAGGAGGAGGAGGGTTAGGAATCGGAGGAGGGCCAGTCGAGTCAGCTGCGGCCCTCCCTGGAGATTTTAGTCCTTCTGGGTCCTCCTGGAGGTGTCTCGTCGCCACGGCTGGATCCGACTCGAAAAACGGGTCAGGATTGACCCAAGGAGGCGTCCGGGGACCGCATCTGTGCGGATGTGGGCTGGGCGAGAGTGCCGCCGTTGTTTCAAGTGGCCCGCTTGCGAAAGTACGAGGGGCAGCAGGATGAGGTGGAGGGGGATGTGGAGGAGGCGGAGCTGGAGTAGGAGTAGGAGGGTCCGCATGGTGAGGATGGAGTGGGGGTATGAAGATGAGGCTGACATTGACGAGGACTAAGAGGAAACGAATACGTCTACGCCGACGATGGTGGTGATGATGGTGATGATGGTGATGGTGACTGTGATGATGCTGCTGATGATGATGATGCTGATGATGCTGATGCTGATGCTGATGCTGATGATGATGCTGGTGCTGGTGCTGATGTTGATGCTTATGCTGATGCTGATGCTGGTGCTGCTGCTGATGATGGTGGTGGTGATGATGAAGGTGGTGTTGGTTATGCTGATGATGATGAAGAGCTTGAGGTTAAGGATGAGGATGCTACTGAGAGTGATGATGAGGATGTGCCTTGCACAGCGCAGTCTACACCACATAGCGTTCCCTGCATAAGTTGCACAGCATAATTCGTACCATATTGCGTACACCGCGTAGCTTGCACCACCGAGGTGGCATCACATAGCTTGCAGCACATAGCATACACCACATAGCTTGCACCAACACAGCTTGAACCCCACATAGCGTGCACCACATAGCTTGCACCGCATATCCTACACCACACGGCTTGTAGCACTTGTAGTACACCACATCGTTTGCACCACATAGTTCGCACCGCACAGCTTACGCCAGATACCTTGAACCACATACATTGCATCACAAAGCTTGACACACATAGCTTACACCGCCTATAGTGCACCACGCTGCTTTCATCGTAGAAGTCACATCACATAGCTGTTTGCCGCATAGCTCGCACCACAGCCCTTGCACCGTTTAGCTTGCACCACGTAGCTGGCAACACATGGCGTACACATTCAGAGTGCAAGGTATCACTGCTTTGGGTCCGTGCTAGCAACCATCGTATGCTTCCGCGGTCCCATTGCATCTGCTGCAACTGGTGAGGGGGGGGGGGCCAGAGGCTTGTTCGCTGTGCGTAAGCAGCCGTGTCTGTTGTTCTCTCATGCCTACACGTATCCGCAGCTGGGACTTGGGCGACTCTATCAGATAGCTTCCGAGCTGGAGTTCTATTCAAAAGGCTTACGCCATTCCGCCGACCACCGAGAAGGTCAGGCACAGCACGAGAACGTCGACGACAGGACGGGGAGAATGAGTGGGAGGAGGAGGAGGAGGCGGGGGGGAGGAGAAGGACGACGATGCCGAGGCATCTTGGAAGAGGATTGGGTTCTGGTGCTGGGTTTCCCTGGGGCGTTTTGGAGTTCCCTGGGCGCTCCTTCAGGACGTTCTGGTGACTCTGAGGGGGATGTTCGGGGTTTGTGGGCACCATTGTGTGTGGGCGGGCTCAGGAACTTGTCGACTTCTACTTTCTTCATTGTTTGGGGATTGAGGCCCTCCATTCTGCCGCGAGCGAGGGGGGATGTGAGAAGGAAAAGGCCTTCTCAGGAGGCGGCGGGGCTTCTCAGAAGCCTTTCGCCTTTGAGAGGTTTCCTGTGTCCTCGGGGAAGGCTTAGAACACTTCTCAGAAGGCCAAGGGACTTCCGAGCCTTCTGAGAATGCCTGCCCCCCCTTCACTTCCCCCTCCAGGCTCGCCGCCGATTCACAGCTGTCTTGGTGGCTCCTCGAGTCGCCGTGGATATCTTGCAGGAGGGCGTCTTCGGGTCATCCTCAGGTGGAGCGCTGGGGGAGGCGACAGGAGAGACTCAGTTCACATGTCTCGCACGCCTTGGCATTCCGTGTCCGTGTGTTCTACGCATTTGCGGTGGTGTTCGCAAGGCCTCGTCGGACAGAAACAAGATATTTGCCTCATCCTCGCCTCCTCCTTGGGATGGCATGGGAGATCTGGGGGCGATCTCGGGCCGTTTCCGCAAGCCTTGGGCCGTCGAGGCAGGGGAGGGAAGGACGAGGGGCACGAACAGGACGAGCCAGAAGATGAGCCGGAGGAGAAGGGGGAATCGGAGAGGAGGTGGGAGACGAGCACGACGAGGAGGACGTGCACAATGCATATGATGATGCTGCTGCTGCTGATGATGATGATGATGATGATGAGGATGATGAGGCTGATGCTGATGATGATGATGGTGACGATGACGATGATGATGATGATGATGCTGATGCTGATGCTGATGCTGATGCTGATGATGATGATGATGATGCCGATGACGATGATGATGATGCTGATGCTGATGATGATGATGATGCTGCTGCTGCTGCTGATGATGATGATGATGATGATGATGATGATGATGATGATGATGATGATGATGATGATGATGATGATGATGATGATGATGATGATGATGATAAGGGGAGCGGAAAAGGACATTGAACATGAGGAGGATGAACCAGAGGGAGAAGGAACGCCTGTTTGGGTCTCTGAGGACGCCTTGGGGCCCTCTTGGAGGCCGCCTGGGGCCCCTTGGGGGCACCTCGGGGGCCTCTGGGGCTCTTGGGCCCATAACGTGGTCTGGGCGGGTTTGACTCGGAAGTTCCACGATGATCGACATTGGAGAGGGGGGCGCCAACGCGTACCTGACGCGCGCGCGACAAGGGAATTACGCGACACCATTTTGATGTTAATTACACATGTCGAGGCCAGGACCCTTGGCTACACTGTGTGTTTTGGCCGGCGGAGGGTTGTTCTTATTCTCTGTCCTGGGTCCGACTGTACTTCCCCTCCTCCCTCCCCCTCCCCCTCCTCATTCCCCGCGACGTCGGACGGCGACGGCGTCCCAGCGGCTCGCGGGGGAGGAGCCGTCTCCGGCCGTTGAGCGGGGCGGCACCCGCGGGGGGTGGCGGCCCGCGTCTAGCACGCGCGCGCGGCAGCAAGCTCGGCCGATGTACGCATGAGGAAGGGAATGTTGGTCATGATGATGCTGGGTGATGGATGATGGATGGTGGGTGGTGGTTGGTGGTGGCGAGATGATGATGACTATGATGACGACGACGACGAAGACGAAGAGGAAAGTGATGATGATGATGATGGTGATGATGCTGATGATGATGGTGGTGGTGGGGGCAATGACGACAGTGGTGGTGGTAATTCTGGTGGTGGTGATGATGATGGCTGTGGTGATGTTGGTGCTGGTGCTGCTGCTGGTGGTGATGATGATCAGGAGGATGAGGAGGAGTAGGATGATGATAATGATGGTGCGGATGACGACGACGATGACGATGACGATGACGACGACGATGCTTATGATGAGGATGATGGAAATATTAGTGAACATGATGATGAATGATGGTGGTGGTGGCGGTTGCGAGGACAATGGGGCCGTGGTGGTGATGACGGTGGTGTTCATCATGTTCATGGCTGTGGTGATGTTAATTATGGTGTTGCTGGCTGCTTGTGGTGATGATGATGGTGATCAAGAGTATGAGGAGGAGGAGGAGGATTGTGGTGCGGATGACGACGATGACGATGACGATGGGGATGACGATGATGAGGATGATGATGAGGATGGCTGCGGTGGTGACGATGATGGATGATGATGATGGATAATGGGTGGTGGATGAAGATGAGGATGATGACGGTGATGATGATGATGAAGCTGATGCTGATGACGATGATGATGGTTATGCTGATTATCATGATGATTATCGTGATGATGTTAATGAGGATGACGCTGATGATGATGATGATGATGATGATGACGATGATCGGGATGACGAGGAAGATGGTGACGACAACGACGACCATGATGATTCTGATGATGATGATGATGATGATGACGATGATGTTGATGGTTCAGAATGGTGAGGGTGATGCCGACGATGACGGCGACCACGATGATGATGGGTGTGATGATGACGACGATGATCGCTCATGCGAATACTGATGATGTCATTAATGAATATCATACGAATGAGGTAATTAGGAATACTTTTATTTACACTCGTACTAGTAATGATGATAATGTTGGCGATGATTATGATGATGCTGCTGATGATGATGATGGTGATGATGGTGATGATGATGCTGCTGATGATGATGATGCTGATGATGCTGATGATGATGCTGCTGATGAAGATGATGGTGGTGCTGATGATGATGGTGGTTGTGGTGGTGATGATGATGATGATGATGCTGCTGCTGATGATGATCATGATGATGATGATGATGCTGCTGCTGATGATGATGATGATGATGATGATGATGATGATGATGATGATGGGGGTGATGATGGTTATTGCTGATCGTGCGGGTGGTGGTGATGATGATTGATGATGGTGATGATGATGATGATGATGATGATGATGATGATGATGATGATGATGATGATGATGATGATGATGATGATGATGATGATGATGATGATCGGTTGCTGATAGCATTGACCGTTATTGCGAAGGCCTTACGGCCGGTGCCGCCGACCCTGAGGTTCGGGAGGAGGGCGTGGAGCATGGGGAGGAATATGAAGAGGGGGACAGGAGGAAGAGGCGGATGCGGAGGACTAGGAGCACAGGGGTGGAATGAATAGGAGGAGAGCGAGGCGAGCAGAGTCGCTGGGGGGGCACGAAGGAAGGGCAGGGGCGAGTAGAGCGTGGCGATCATGAGGAGGAGAAGGAGGGAGATAATGGCGAGGATGTTGACGATGTTGACGACGACGCTGGTTGCCTATCAGGACAATTCGGGGCGTCTTGGACCTCTCTTGGGGCGACTTCCAGGCTTCGCTCGCTGTTTTGATTCTAGCTTCGGCATCTTGGGCATCTGGGAGGCCACGGAGGTATAGTTAGATTTGGAGGGCGCTGGGGCCGGGACCTGGGCCAGGGCCGGGGCTGGAGCGGGCCAGGGCCAGGGCCGGGGCCAGGGCTGGGGCCGAGACTGGGGCTGGGGCCGGGGCCGGGGCCGGGCCGGGGCCGGCTGGGGCCAGGGCAAGGGCAGGGGCCATGCGGGGCCGAGGCCGGGAGTGGGTCCAGGGCCAGGGCCGGCGGGGTGGGGACCAGGGCCAGCCGGACCCCCGGGACCCCCCCCCGGACCACCCCCCGGGCCCGCCCCCCGGGACCGCCCCCCGACCACTTCTCGGGATGGTGGTGGTGGTGATGATGATTGATGATGATGATGGTGGTGGTGGTGATGCTGATGATCGGGTACTGAGAGCATTGACCGTGATTTGATGTGATAGCGTAGAGATAGTATTGCCCCCTTTCCGTCGATACCACTGCGACCGAAACCCAGGCATGCCATTTTTTAACGGAGTACATCGGGCTTGCTCCCGTGCGCAGTATACTACATGACACTTCCAGATATGGACGCATGGTCGACCTCATCGGCGTCGGGGGGACAAAGCCGATTGTGGGCGCTCCCGTGAGCGCTGGTCACGTGCGCGGCCACAGCTTACGGCGGGTGCCGCACGGCTTGGCGCGCTGGGACCGGCCGCGAAGCAGTGAAATGATTTGGCTTCGCGGTGCTAGCGGGCATCGTCGGCACTCTTGCGACGCTGTGGTGGGCAGGGTTCCTGGGCTGCTGCTGCCGACGGCGCGGGGGCGCTGACGAGGTTGCCCGCTGGCGCGCGCAGCCGGAGTCGCTGCGGCTGGGCCAGGGGGGCCCGGAGCAAAACCCCCTGCCTGGCGATGGTGCGCCCGCCGCTGGGGTTCCTGGAGGGGCAGGGCCCGCCGACCTCGGCCTGCCGCCGCTCCCGCCCTGCGGGTTCGGCCCGCCCCTGGGGGCCCTGCCTGCTGGAGGAGCAGGGGCCGACGGCGGCCTGACCGCCTTCCACGCCTCGTGGAACCGCTGCCGGAGCTGCGCCGCCGCCGCCGCTGGCTTCGCTGGGCGCGGGGGGCCCTGGAGCAGGATCGGATGCCGCGCGCCTCCGTCAAGCGCGGCCGCCTGTGAAGCTGAGGTCCGCTCGGACCTGGAGGCGCTCGCGGCGACCAGTGGGTCCGACCCGTGGTGGGGCAGGAGATTATGGCGGCGTGCCTTCCAGCGCGGCGGGCCTCCTCGACTCGGGGATAAGGCGGCGCCGATGGCCTGAAGATGCGTGGGGGCTTAGCGCCGAGAGCTTCAAGACCGTCTTCCGCGGCTGCGTCGGCGGGGCAGTTCGCCGGAGGCAGGCTTCGCGGGCGCGGGCCTCGCCGCCGCCTCCTCGGTCGACATCTGGGCCCGCGGCCCGCCGCCCGACATCTGGCGAGCGGCCAGTGATATCTACGCAACATGCGCCCGTCTGGCTCGGCCTCCGCGAGAAATTGGCCGGTTCAGCAACGCCGCGGATCGAGAGAGGGGAAGGGCGGCAACGCCTTTGGGCCGTGGCCACCGCGGTCGACTTCGCCCTGTGGAAGTGCAGCAACGACGTGAACCTCTTCGCGAGGCTCAATTTGGAGGGCCAGGTGGAGCTCGCGCTGAAGCACCTCTCAACGCACGGCCGCGACGGCCGCGCCCGCTACTCCGCGGGCGCGGCCCGCGTCCGCGCCGTCGTGGCGCCTGGTTCCGCTGTGGGCATCGATCCGAACTGGCCCATCGCAGAGGCGACCGCTCGTCCGAAGTTGGAGCACCAGCGGTGGTCGCGGATATATTCAGAGCTGTGCCGTCGCAGTCGCACAGGTGGCCCGACGGGGCCCGCGTGGGGCGCGCCAAAGGGGGCGACCCCAAGTGCGGCGGGGAGTGCTAACGACCGCCCTCGGCGAGAAGGGCGCTGCGGCAGCTGGCGCAACTCGAGACGGCTGCGCGGTGGAACAGAGACGATATGGCCTCCGACATCTACAACGGGGAGCTGTGGGGCCACGTCGAGGGCGACGACCAGACCGCCACCCCTTCGCGACCTGCGGTCTCGAGACGGCTGCCCTTTCCCGTTTTCGACGAGCTCCGACACTGTCTGCGCGATGGCCGCCCTGGCCTTGGCCGGGCCCGCAGGCGCGATGTCTGGGCGGACGCGCCAGCGCGAGTCGAGGCGTCGGGTTGCGCATCGGCTCGACACGAGATGTCGGATGCGATCGGTCGCGCATGCGCTGGGGGCTTGAGGCAGCCAGCGGGGCGCCCCGCCAATCATATGGCGAAGGATGTGGAACAGACGGAGCGGCGAGACAAGCCCAGCTCAGAGCCGCGCGCGTGTCCCAGATCGTGGTTGGCGCTCGCCGGCAGGGCCCCGCGACTGGCGCGCAATCAATCGGTGGGCTGCTCAAGATCGACATCGCTTACTCGGGCCGCAGCAAGGGCCTCGTCCGCGCCACCTTCATCGCTGACAGGGTCGACGAGAGGACTGACGGGACTTGCGTCGCTAAGGGGATCGACGAGAGCAACGCGCTGGAGTGGGGCGGCAAGAGCGAGCAGCTGCTGAAGGAGCTCGCGGAGCACTGCGGCTTTCTCGGAGGCTTGCAGGAGGAGTGGGCCAAGTTTGCGCCGCCCCGATCCACCGCCGCGACTGTGGTCGGTGGGCCCTCATGCGAAGCGCCGACATCGAGGCCCTGAACGGCGCGCGCGCGATCCCGGGGCCCCGAGGGGAGACCCCGAGAAGCTCAGAACGCTTGTCGCGGCCGCCCCCGCCAGCTACATCATGCGCGGCGTCGGGGCCCAGGGGGGGCCGCAGTCTCGGGGGCGGCGGGGCTTTGCCGCTAGTGCGAGCGAGCGTTGTGGAGACCGTTCCAGAATTCCAGATGCGACCAGTCGACTGACTTTGCTTTTGTCCCGACGCCTTCCTGGCGGCGGCCGTGGATGGCCGCGCCCGGCGCGCCTGCGGCCCCGGTTTGAGAGCGGCCGCCGCCCGGGCTGGAGCGCGTGCCCGACGACGAAACGGCCCGCCCCTGCCACCAGAGGCTGCCGCTGGGCCGCTCGCGC